TGGTTGTGACAGGCTTTAATGGGACACTTGCATCAGCTGCTGCATGCGAAGCACTCAGAGCTGCGCTTGCCGCATGGCAAGTGTTAGCTATTGATGAGTTAATGGTTCCATTCAGAGAGTCTCTGAATAAGCGTGTGAGGATGAGTGGGTGACTGTGTGCTACATGTAAGTGTTGAGGCCACGCTGGCCATTGTTTTAATTTTCCTGTTACACCAGCTTAAAGCTGGCAAGGATTTTACGATACACAGATTCGTCAGAATCTTTTTCTGGTTTTAAATTGCAGATTCTTAAAAAGAATAATCTATGGGACAGATGAGAATTTAATAGTATAAAATTATACAAATCAAACTGTCTTTCTTAGGTTACAAAAATATATTTTATCAGCAATTTTCTCTTGGTTCAGCTTAAAGTAAGCAAAAATTTCAAGAATCTTGCATAATCTGATCTGACTTGAAACCTGGATATAGAATATTCAACAATGTATTTGTTAAGGATTTATAAGAACTGAAAGGGCAGGAGGAGGTGCAGAAACAAGACCCAGGTACATGGGAGCTCCTCAGTATCTCTGCAGCATGATGCAATGCGCACAAACACACCTCTCTGCTTGACTTCTTCCAACAACTTCTCCTAAACCACTCTGCCGCCCATCACTCTCCTAAGTCCTTATCCAAAGGCACAGGAGACGCATGGGACACAAAGCCACTCACTAAGGAGGTGCAGAAGGGCGGGCTGGTGATTCATTAGAACTCATAAAGCTTTTCTATGGAAATTAAGAATCAATGAAGCTATTGTTTGAGACCACGACTCTGCAAGTGTAGACTAGTTATGGATTCTCACAGAGCAACAGTCCTCTCAGAAAGAGGCACAGGCACCGAGCCTACGGAATTCCAGGGGAGCTTTGCCTCAGGTATAAGGGTAGCTGCTCAAACCCACCAGGTTTCTGGGTACAGGGAGTGGCTACCGGTTAGTGGGGATACTTGGTCGCATGCTCCAAGTTCACACGGACTGGTTTACTGGTTTGAGCTTTGAGGGCTCCAAGTGGAGCCTAATAGGTATCACTGCCTCTGTGAGTCCAGGAAAAAGTAACTTCAAACAAACAAAAAAAAACAACTTAAATACTGGTTTCCAGAATTACAACAGAATATAACAGACTTTTGTCACAAAAGACACACAATGGTAAAACATTTAAAGCCTGAACCACCTACCTTTAAAACATCCTGAGTGTTCTCACAGCAGAACTGCAACCAAAGTGTGCAATGCACCGCAAAGGAGTAAATGGTGTTGAACATGCAGACCTCCCTGGGTTTGCACAGATTTAAAAATCGTCGTGAATTACAGAGACTACTGGGGAGAGCATGGCTCCGAGTCAAGCAGAGACGTGAAAGCGGAGCAAACATGCTCCCAGACGCCGGGGTTTATCAGAGAGCACTCAGAGCCGACAGGCAGCTGACGAAGCCCACTGGCCTCACGCTCTCCTGTTCAGTTGTTATTTTATACTCTGGACTTTTCACTCTAAGGTTCAGCAAACTGCAAGTTCCAAAGTTTTGTTTTCCAGGTTCTGACAGGAGTGAACGTGGGCGCCCAGTGATAGTTACAACTCACAAAGGCCAGCCCATCTCACCCGGGGCCGTCTGCTTCAGGCACACCAGACATGGAAGATGGCTTTCTGAGTCACCCCCAGTGGCCAGAAAGCAAGCCTATGAATACTTCTGATTTTCGCATACACACCAAGGCTAGAAATGGAAACAGCAGGAGCCGTTTTCTATAAGTTATCAGATGTACAGAAAACCAAGAAGGTGGAGTCTTTTGAGTCTAACAACAGAAATTTTCTTTAAGAGCAGCAATCTCACTACAAGTGCATTTTCTTTAAAATACACTATTTCATAAAGTACTGCTGTGTTGTATATTTTAATTTTTAGAATAATGAAGTTATCTAAACTTTATTGACATGTATATACCTTAAAATATCAGCCCTTACTTTCTAATGGTGATACACAATTTGTGTTTAATCTTCGAGTTAAAAGTTAATGTGTTCTTCTAAAGCCAATAGATCATATAGCAAAAGTTATTATTTTTTAACACCCATACTTCTCACTATTGAAATCACAACTGTAACCAGTCCCACAGAGCTGGCCTGGGACTGTCCTCTGTGGGCCACTCATGTTCTTGCCTTTTGGTTGTAAAATTTATTCAAACTAAACAATATACATTTGAAACAACAGGAAAAAGAAGAAAATCGAGAGTGAATGGAGAAACACTCCAGGAGCCAGAGAGAGGAAATAGCCGCCGTGGACAGAGCAATATGGAGGGAGCTAGAGCAGCGTAGAAATGAACATCGAGGAACATCCCAAGAAGATGCAAAGGGGAAAAGGGTAGGTAAAGTCCTTAAAGATGGCTCTCTGGCAAGCAGGGACGGCCAGAAAGAGAAGCTCACAAGGGCCAGGGGGTGGGGGTGGGCATTCTAATCGCTTACACGGTGGCACAGTCCCTTAACTTACTCTGTCTCCGTGTTCACAGCCCAGTACAGACAGACTGTGCTCCTTTTCTGGCTGAAACTCTCAGCTCATTTCAAGTTGTGCCCACCATTTAGTGCCTGGGACAATTTCTTTAAGGGGGGAAAAATGTGTCCTGCAAGATGACATTCTTTCCACACATCTCCGAACCTGGCCTGCGGCCATGGCTGTTTTCCTTTCTCAAGACAGCCAGGAGGTCCTGTTTTTCACCAGGCAGTAAAAGCAGCATCCGCCTATGGAAGGAAAACATTCCAGTTCTGGCATGGTTGATACAGGCCACTTAACCAAAGCTACTCAGATCTGGCCCACGGACCACTCAGCCAAATCTACCTAGTCCAGTCCAGTCCAGTCTAATCCAGGTCAACTCCTGAGAGAGACCTGAAGGTGGAGGACACTTGAGGAGGAAAAGATAGGAAGGAGACACCTGGTCAGTAAGAGAGGGTGAAGGAGCAGGCAGCGGCTGGGTCTAGAACACGGGCACCGGACCCCAAACCAGAGAAAGCAGACACACACACAGTGCTGAACAGAAAGGGCGCAGGAGTCAGCCTGCCTGTGGCCCAGCAGACATTTGAAATTTTGGTTTCATTTTTATTTTATTTTAAGAAAGGGTCTCTAACATGGACCTGAATGTCCTGGAACTTTGTAGACCAGTCTCTGGCCTTGAACTCTCAAAGATATCCATAACTTTGCCTCTTGAGTGCTAGGATTTAAGGCATGAGTCACCAAGCCAGGCTCAGCAGACTTGTTTTTTGTTTTTTGTTTTTTTAAATAAGTGATCTACTGAGGTTCCCACCAGCAACAGGCTTAAGTCCTAGTACTAGACTTGGGTTGACCACTCACCTAGACTGCCACCTACATTTTAGAAGTAGAGGACACATATCCCCTAGATCCCATGCCTTTCAGATCCCATTCTAATGCTCTTGGGTCACAGATCTCACCGCTCACATGGCCCTTCAAAATACCTGCCTTGTCTCGTCAAGCACGGAACTTCTCCCTGGTGTAAGAGAAGAAAAGCCCTCCATGGCGCTGGCTGAACCTGGGAGAAAGAAGTGGGGACACCAACACAGACACACAGCACCAAGAGCATCCAGGGTCCTCATACCCCGTGGAGGGAGGCCATCCGACCCACCTTCGAGCTCTTTAAAACGCCTCCCCACATTGTCTAGGAAGGAAAGTTAAAGGCACATCTTCCAGCCCTCTAATTGGGCACAGTGGAGGGCTGCCCGGGGAGGGCTACTACTGTATTCGTAGGTGAATGCCTCAGTCCTCACCTCCCCAATTCTGAGAGGCAGTTACTGCTTCAGATTTCGGCAGAGGCGATACCAAGTACTCTATAATGGCTTCTCCTTTTTCCATGTGTGGCTGATCTTATTTTTTTGTTTAATAATTATACCTACAAACATCTGTTCAAGTGCTAGGCACAAAATAATGCTTTTCACTCTTTAGATATTTTATGATCTCATTCATTAGTAACAAACCTTTTAAAGCTACTTAAATTGTGAGAGTTCACCAACCATAACCTGCTATAATAGAATGCCAAGGTAAAACCCCAAATCCTTCTGTTTAGACAGTATTTTCTTACCACTGTTCGACTGAGTTGACACACACGGCTCTATTTACGTGGCTGGGGTGGGGGACACTTCCCACACACTCTGGCCCCTTGCATGCCAGCAACAATATGCCCAGTTAGCTCTTTTGCCAGGGCTCCTCCAAGTGCCCCGAGTGCCCTTAAGTGCACTCTGAAGCGCCACATCTTCATTACTGCGAGTTTCATGCACGTTCTCGGACGCCACGATGCCCATACTAAGGCAACACATCACAGAAGCTGGCAGCATCGCTATCAGCGAGAATTTGGCTTCAGAACCCAGTGATTCATCATCCGTCCCGGCAGCACAACAACACACCGCTATTTTAGTCCCTCAGCGCTATCACCACCACCACCCCCCAACTGCAAAAGTAGATTTAAGCAAAGCTGCCAAAACCAAAACATGCCATTAACATTTGCCCCCTTTTCAGTAAGAAAAAAGGGCTGATAGGCTACTCACCTGATTTCAAAATAATCAACCTCGGGCATTCACAAGGGCAAGCAGGGAGCAAGGTCTACAACTAACTACTAAAATTCTAAATTCAGGAGGACCAATTCACTTGCTGGGCAGAAAGGAAAATAGGTCCTGGCATTGCTGAAGTTGCCCACTTCTCACACTGCCTGCGTGGGCTCCTGTACTGCTGCCTGTGGGGGTCTGCCTGGAAGAAGCTTCCGTTTCTCAGGGGTAGGGAGGGCTGCAGTGTAAGGAGCCCTCGACAGGCCCCCGTCCCGGTCACGGCGGGGGACACCACCGTTTATCTACTGATTTCCCTACTCGGGAAAGCTTCCTTGCTGTAAATTTAACACAAACTCCCCAAATGCTATTCTAGTAGCAGAGACTGCATCCTGGACACAAGGCAGCACACGGGAGCCCCTCCCAGCAGCGTCCTCAGGGCCCCTACCTTTTCAAAGGCCACTTCTTGCTTCCCTCGTTTGCGTTTTCGGGGTCTGCGGTTCACACGAATCCATTTCGCCACCTGAAGTCAAAATCCAACAGCGTTTCAGGAAGGCGGAGAGGCGCGGGCGTCCGTCTCACCTGGAGCACCCTGCACTGCCGCCGCCTCCGCCCGCCGCACTCACCTCCGAGCACACGCGTCCTGCCAGCCCACTCGGTGCGCTGTCCTCGGCCTCGCGCTCCTCCCGCAGCGCCTGCGGGGAGAGCGAGTCAAGTTCACCCGAGCCCAGCGCCACGAGCGCGACACCTCGGCGGGCGGGCGGGAGGGCGCAGGCGGGGCGGGGCCTGCCTTAAAGGTGTAGGCTCCCAGGTCCGGGGTGTTATTGTTCTCGGAAAGCACCCTCTGCCCGGGCCTGCGCCCCACGAGCCTCTCCTCACCCACCCACCCACCCACCCACCCTCTCCCCGACACACACTTCCAGGTCTAGTCTGAGGCTCCCGCTGAGGGACGGAGGGACCCTGAGCCAGGGTTCCCAGGGGAAGCGACTTTCCTGCTAGCACTTCCAAGGTGGCAGGTGAACTGGGGAGTCCCCTGTGCACGTCTAGCCTGGACCGGAGTAGCACGAGGGTGTAAGGGGGGCGGTCCTGTTCCGCGGCCGAGGACGGACTCGCCCCATTTTCCTCGTCTGCCGTGCCAGCCAGGCCCGAGGAAAGGCTGCCCCGCTGCCAGTGCTGGCTGACTCCGACTGCCCTTAACTTTATCGCATTTCTTTAAAGAAATTCTGTCGGCCCTCTTTATTGCTACTCCATCCTTCTTTCAAGATCAAAAGGTTTAGATCAAAGCCAAGATCAAACTCGGGACTTTAAATAGAAGCAACTTTGCCACAGAGTACTTTACACAAAGAGGAGCTGCTTAATGAGACATCAGAGTGGAAAACTTTATTGTACCCTCCATTCCCAAACACAGCCGGACCCTCATGTGGCCACTAAAGATGCTTATGTCCTAAAATAAACAACAGGCCTGCTCCAGTCGGGGATTCTTAGCGGTGTTTTTATTTCTAGAAACGCAAACCAAACCAAAACCTAACTCTAGAATGTAAGTAGATGCAGTCAATTTTGTACCTCATTATCCAGGTACTAAAGTGCTAAGTGTCTCACACATATTTAGTGACTTTACATAAACTGTCCATCCATCACAACCAAGTTTATCCTGCTTTAAGAGGAAATCACAGAAATAGTTAATGCTTTTGGAAAGCCTCGAAGCACGCATACACATAAACATGTAAATCACCAACACTGCATTATGCAGATCTACTTAATTTTAAACAGAAAGAGACTACTCAAGCTTCATGCTACTCATAATTCCAGAATCAATATATACTCACCCTGGCAGACACTGCCTTTATTCATTTATTCCCCTTGGGTGTTTACCACCCTTAGAAACACTAATACAAACAGCCTAATGCAAAGAGTTTATTAATGGGAAGAAAGATAACTATTACAAACTAAGTTTACATAGACGTCTATGAGAACCTAGTAAAGCTGGATAGTATATAACAGCTTTTATTTCTGGCCTTATAATTTTCACATGTGAGATTGTTCTCAAACCTACAACCCCACAGAACCACAGGTAATGTCTTGGGAACACAGATCTGGAACTCGGCCCCACCTACACAGTCTTTTCCATGCTGGCACAGCACAAGGAGCAGGAGCACTCGGACTTAGGCTGAGCTTCCAAAGCTGGGGCCCAGTCTGCATGCCTCCCAGCCTGTTCCCTTATCCACACTCCCTCCCATAGAGAAGCCACGAGTGTCTTTCCAAAGGAAATTGCAATTCCATTGCTTTGCTTTACTGAAAACACACCGCCTGCCTCTGGTTCTTACCTGAAGTATCCTGTCTGAAAGGTCCCTCCTCACTATCATGTTCAAGTCTAATATTCCCCAGGATCTAATACACCCTGCCTGTATTGGCTTCCTTCACTCTTTGTCACTGAGACCTCACTTTAGATTTAAGTTTTTCAGATCTTCAGGAAGCATATTATCCTACGGTTACTATCGTGTATTTTATAAAATGCAATTACATTCTACATTTCTATGTCTGAAGAGCCAGTGTTAAGATGCTGCAAAAAAAGCCCACATCCTACATTAGGCTCACTTAGTTTGGTACAATTTTTATAGCTATTTATTGTTAATTTATCATGTGGGTATGGGGGGTGCACAAGCCATGCCATGTATGTGGAGGTCAGAGGTCAGAGGTCAGAGGACAACCTGTGCAAGTCTCTCCTACCTTGTGGGATATGGGGATAAAACTCAGGCTGTCAACCTTGCGGCCTTGGCAGCAATCACTGTCACCTACTAAGCTGTCTTGCACTCTATTATTTATTTATTTTTATTATTAACTGATCAAATATCTACCTCCCTAACCACACTTTAAGCTCCTGGAAGGGCAACATCCTATTGTTTTTGTCCCTGGTTTTTGTCTAGTCACTACAATACTGCCCAACACACAATAAATATTCAATGTTTTAAAAGTGAACGGGACCTGGATGGCTCAGTGGATCAAGGCACTGGCTGCCAAGCCTGACAGCCTGAGTTCAGCCCCCAGGCCCCACGTGGTGGAGGGAGAGAACCGACTCCCAAAGGTTTTCCTCTGACCTTCACACTCATTCCATGGCACCTGTGCCAACACACACTCACACACTAAATAAGTAAATACATAAGTGTAATAAAATTTTATTGGAAGTAAATAGAAGTAGACAGGGACAAAGGAACACACGGCACACAGTTCAAGTGTGTGTGTGTGAAATATTTTTTTTTTTTTTTTTTGGTTTTTCGAGACAGGGTTTCTCTGTATAGCTTTGCGCCTTTCCTGGGACTCACTTGGTAGCCCAGGCTGGCCTCGAACTCACAGCGATCCGCCTGCCTCTGCCTCCCGAGTGCTGGGATTAAAGGCGTGCGCCACCACCGCCCGGCGTGTGTGTGAAATCTTACAATTACTTCTCTAACTCCAATTTCTTTAACTGCTAGAATATCACCATTTGTAAAAAGCACAGATTGTGCATTTAAATTTAAAAAAAGGAGGAACACAATTCTAAATGACTTAAAAAAAAAAAAAACAGAAAATGAAGGTCCCTATACACCAGCAATTCAAATTACATCTCAAAATGGTGTTTGGGGGCTGAACTTAACCCAGAATAAAAAGTGAAACACTAGAAAAATTAATGTTTTTAATTATTCAACACAACCTGAACACAGTTCTCTGTTGTTTACCTAAATCCCTCCTTGTTTATGAGTTGATACAAATGTCAGTAGGCTGTGGAGAAACTTTTAAAAATACTGAAATTTTGCAGTTGGGAATGGATAGTCTATCGTCTTCCAGAGTGACAAAAGCACTTTCAAGCTATCCTTTAAAAATGAACCATTTTATGTCTGAATTATATCTTTTTAAATGTCTCAGTTAGTTGACAGGCACATTTGGAAAGGAAGTTTTTCAAAAAAAACTTTTTGTCAAAGCAGTTCGTAACAGTCAAAGGCAATTTCAGAGCCCGAGGAAACGCTTTTGCTTTCAAACAAAAGCCCTGCTCAACGCAGAAACAGAGATTATCTTCAGAGAACGTCTTTTTTGGTTTTCTTTTTTAATCTTTTTTTTTTAAGTGGAAGAGGAAGTTATTCCTCCCACAGGAAAAGGCAGTGATGCCGATCTCTTATTGAGAGGGGTGGGTGCTCTCTTCCTGCTTCTATGTGGTGAATGAAGCACAGCACAGGGGAGTGAGGAAGTCCACAGGAACCCCTGTAGGGCAAACGTGGGGAGCCCTTTAATTATTCCAACAGACAGAAAATTATGCTCCCCTGGGCAAAGCCAAGGGAGAACCATCTGCAGAGAGAAGCCAAGGACTTTGGCTCCCAAACAAGCTAAGGGCTCTGTTACTAACATACACAGGCCTGCTGGCCTGCGTTTGTAATGTCATCACTGGAGAGGCCATGGCAGGACTGTGAGTTCTGGACCAGTCTGAGCAACAAACAAACAAACAAACAAACAAACAAACAGAACAAAACAACAGGTACCCATGGTGTCTGGAACTAGAGTTACCTGTAGAGTAAGCAGCAGGAACAAGTCAGGATTAAGAGCAGACTGGCAAAATGTTACAGCTTTAAATTTTGCATGAATGTAACACACCTTATGCACTGTTTTCTCTGAGTTTAGAAGAACTGTATATGGCTTGCATGTTATTGTCTGTTTCATCAGCGTTAGGATGAAGGCCCTAGTTTCTTTCTGAGGGCGATTTTAGCTCTGCTAGGTGAATGTAATTCCACAGCATAATTTTCAGAAGAGAAGCGTGGCTCACACCAGATGGCCCACTATGGGCTCTGCTCCCTGCCTAAACTTCTATTTTCCTGTCTGTAAGTGCAGCCCTGAACTCATCAGTGTCACCCAGAACCCTATACAGAGCTCAACCAAGTGGACAGTGTGTAAGATACTGTCCGTCTCCTTTTCCCCTCTTATACTTTAGTACTGAGGACTGAGCCTCGGCATCATGTATCCAAAGCAAGGACTCCACTAATGGGCTGTACTCTCTGCCCCAAGCAGGCCACCTAATGATGATCCTCTCTGATATGGTAACTAACAGTGTTGCTACTAAAACAAACAAACAATAGATCACACCTACAGCATGCACACACACATATTTCCCAGATATTCCTGGACTATTGGTGCTTAAACTCCCGAGGGACATGACAGTTCATTCTTAGGTTCAGCCAGATCTCTACAAAGCTGGCACTGGACTTCATCTTCCTGTGCTCCAGAAATAGCCTCTTACCATGCAGGTCTGGTGAAATGCCATCGACCTTTATGGAGGGACAGCGAGATAAAAGGCCTCATAAGTTCATCGCTGTGTTTACCCATAAGAGGGCTATTACATGCCATTTTTACCTCTCTCTGGTATCAGTGGCAGAAATGGTCAGACTAGGCTCCTGGTTTGTTTTCATCACTGTCGATTATGAATCTTCCAAAATCTTGGGAGCTTTGGGGATCCTTCCTAGCCAGCATAGGAACCTCAGGGACAGTTTGCTGAATATTGGCTATGCTCCTCACCCATCTTCCTGCCAAGTTCTGCTGTGCTTATCTGCTTTGGAAGCTGCCTTAACTCCATTTTGGGCAGGAGAAGTATTAATAAATAAAGTATTGGGATTTTATTTTTCCCCTTTAATTTCCATTTCTCCTTGAATTGCTGCAAAAATGCCATATTTCCAGCATT